CTCACCCCAGCAGGTTTGGGTTCAATCGCAGTTGGCGCCGCCGGGATGTTCTGAGGTATAACATCTCTGGAAAGTAAAGCCGTTGTTCCCCGGTTCATGAGTTGATGGGTCGATAGGTAGAGTCAAGGTGTGCGAGCTGCCTCCTTGGCGTCGGTAGTATTGATGCTTAGAACGGAAAACAAGATCGATGGAAAACAAATCAAGGAAAAAAAATGATAAAATCGGTCCAGTTATGATTTAAAAAATAATAAAAATTAAAAAAAAAAAATAATTTTTCGGTCCACTCTAACACGAAAAAGGTCACCCTAATGGCGAAATATAAACATATGGGTGAAATATTAATCGATAAGAAAAAAAAATTATCAATTGTAAAGACATTCTAAGATCCATTCTAACTTTTTTCTATGGACTTGCTGTTTATAATATTATGGATGTGGGTTCGTGAGTTAACCATTCCCAAATCAGATGACAAAAACCTTTCAAAAATTCAAAGTAATAATTGGGCAGTGGGTGGTTTCTTCTCTGAAACGAACCAGCCTACGGCTGAGAGCCTCTTTAATAAAAAAAATCTTATCTAATCCATCGGATTCGATTATTAAGGGTCAAATTCCAAAGGAATTCTTCGAAGAGTTTTAAGGAAATTCCGAGACAATTCTGAAGGGCATTGCATGGGAATTCTAAAGATAATCCAACAAAGTGTTAAAGAACCTTCATTGAATTCTTAGAAAAAAACTTTTAAATTTTAAGAGGAAAAATTAGGATGAATTATTTGAAGCGTTCTACAGAGAATTTCTGAACAGTTATTAAAAACGTTATTCAAGACTTTCTCGAACAAATTGATTTAAAATTAATTTAAGAATAATTCTGAAAAGAACTCTGTGAAGGGAAATGATAGTAAAAGAAATGCTTGATAACAATCCAATAATAAGCGGCGTCGGTGGTGTAGTGCTGCCTCTTATTCCAAATAGCCTGGCATCAATCCCAGTCGGCGCCGTCAGGATTTTCTGAGGCATAAAATCTTTGATCACACGAAGGGGAAGTAAAGTCGTTAGTCGCCGGTCCATGAGCTGATGGGTCGATAGGCAGGGTCCAGGTGTGGGAGCTGCCTCCCTGGCGTCGGTAGCATTGGTGCTTAGTACGGAAAACAAGATCGACGGAAAACAAATCAAGGGAAAAAACAATTCAATAAAATCCTGTACAGAGTGATTGAATTTTCAAGGTACATAGATAAAACATAGATAAATTTAGAAGACTTCAAACGCAAAAACCAATTTTGATTCGGCTAAATCGCATTCTGTGTTATGTTTGATTTAAATGTATATCGCACACCGGGAAAATTTCCGAAATTCCGGGAAAAAACCCTGAAATTTATAATTGGGATCTGCTGGTCTCCATTCATCAAGCAGAAATCTGAACTCTTCACCAAGCTGAATTGTTGCTGTAGTCATAGGTAATCTTATTAAAAAAAAACAATCCACTTTACCATACACAATTAACATAGGGGAAATGTTGGCTTCGGCAATACCTTAACCTATTATCGTCAGGGGGTAAACAACGACCTTGAGAACTCAATTTTGGCATGTGGTTACATTTTGTTTCAGAGCATCTATTGGCCAAATTTGAGTGCCCTAGGACTTTGTCGCCACTAGGGACATCAATCAGGTCATGGTTGATCCAGTAAATCAAGTAGTCTGAATTCCAATTTGGAGAACCTAGATCATCGTGTGCACATATAAATGAAAGTAAAATAATGTGCTTAATCTCAATGAACTTGTTAGGAGTTGTTTCGTGACTAAGGGTCTTGTATCATTCATGCTCAGGTAGGTGTCGTCACTGAGAACATTGCGCAGACCTTGGTTGATCCAGTAGATCAAATAGTCTTAACTTCTGGACAATTTGGTGAACTTAAAACGTGTTGAAACCAAGCAATCTCTCTTATCTTGAATTGTCAAATTGGGAATAATTAACAATGCAGTCCTTTGTAAAAGATATCATCAGAAAAGAAGTAATGAAATTGGGTTGTTAGCGGAATGCTTAAATAAAACAGCAAAAAAGGATTATCTTCCATTTAATTTCACATTAATAATTTTGGTATATATGACAGATACGTATTTCGACTACAATGTGCAGTCTTCATCAGTGTCATTCCCACTAAAGACTTATCAAAAACCTAACCCTCTTAAGTACTTATCCCCTAAGTAAAAAAATGTCAAGATCACAGATATAAAAATGAAAAAATCAGATGAGTACTTAAGGTGGTTAGGTTTTTGATAAGTCTTTAGTGGGAATGACACTGATGAAGACTGCACATTGTAGTCGAAATACGTATCTGTCATGGATACCAAAATTATGTAAGTGGAATTAAATGGAAGATAACCCTTTTTTGCTGTTTTGTTTTTTAACTTCATGAGGTTTTGGAGACCTAGGCCTTTGAGTTTGGCTATAAACTGGTGCTTTAATATTTTCCCTGTATAGTTGACACCCACAACTATAACTATGCTGAAGAAAGCATGTAGCTATCTATTATTTTTGATATTATGCAACCAATTATAGAGCGTGATCATATATGACCACGTGGGCTCGAAAGAGTTAATAACGTAACCTAACCTAACCTACTCCACTTACTTTTATGCACCATAGTTAGTGTGAACCACCACCATTGATTTCAGTGATGGCTGTCGTCTTGGCTGTTCCTTTTGATTTAGTTTGGAATGAAGCTCCCAATCTTCCGGGGATTTACAAACCATATCTCACTTGGTTGTAAGATATCCCTGCCAAAGATTCTAACAGAGTTTCGAAATAAATACTACAGTAGTACAGTAAGTTTATTCATATCAGACTTACAGTAACTGCTGCAGCCTATTTATACTCCCGAAACCTTATTTGAAGATGCCATAACTCATCGGGCGTTATGGGCTCTTATATTGACCTGTGGATATGCATCCTTTTATCTTTTTATCTCTTCCGTTTTCCAGTATTAATTTCTTAGTGTAGTGCTGTCCTGATTTTGTTAGCCTCTTTTTTGATGTTTTTTTCTCTCCTTATTCCATAAAACCCATGCAGTTCTTAATGTCACTTACGCTTCAATCTCAGAGAACGTTTAAGTAATTTAAACTTATTCCTTATTGTTTGCGTATTTGCCTTAGAATCATATTGATTTTTATCCAGGCTGTTATCTGGTACTGTACAATTTGTAGTTGCTACTCGATTATTGATAATAAAAAACGAAATTGCGCAGCGAACCACGTAGATGGAACTTTGGATTATACTGTCACATTCTCTGAGAAATCCACGCGATTTATCTCAATGAAAGGCCGCAGCAGTCAACGCACCCTATATTATTTTATTTCAATGAAGTAAAATCATCACTGGTCATCGTACTTTCCCAACAAACAATTCGAGCTGGTTAAGCTGAAGGAGCAAATTTTTGCCTGAATAAGCTCTAATTTAGCTTGCAATGTTTGTTGGGTTGTAGCGTGGAATTCAAGGCCAATGCGTTAAACGGTGTTTCCTGAAATGTCGCGCGGTGTTTTAAAAAAAGGGAATCAACCCAGTAACGCTGGTAGATCTCCTTTTCGAGGTGCGTTACTGGTCTAAGATCTACACCCAACCGGGGGATGTAAGATTCGCCTACAATTATGTGAGATTCATCATCAGAGGATGTTAGTGGAGACCGCATGAACCGAGGATGCGATATACCTAGCTGCGGTCCAATGCAAGAAAATTGGAGACCGAAAAATGTAGAGTGTAGTGAGGTAAATTAGTTATGTCGAAAAAAATTGGAAACAGACTGCCGACTGGACTCGAATCACGAACGTTGCGATTATCAGACCTGTGCTTTCTCCACTGCTCTCTCCATGCTTCTGGATATGGATAGCCTAAAAGCAAATATGAAGCAAATATGACTTCGTATGCCTTTTCTGCTGGAGAGATTCGAGGCGTCGTTCTACAATGTTCTACAATGTGCGTCGTTCTACAAGCTTACTGGTATAGTCGAAAGCGTAGATAGAACACGAAATAAAAAAAAAGACAAAAAACCATTACATCGCCTGCATGGTTAATTTCTAACATTCGTTGCGATGTTCATGAACAGAGGATGATAGGAAACGGAACTAACATTCATTGTAATAGATTTTTGGTTTGCGTGTACCACATCGAACTCTGGCCCTAGGCTCTGTTTTGATATCAGTATCATCGTTTGTTTTGTCGCTAAGAAGACCTAGTTTTATTGGTGAGAAGGCGCGTATTTAAAGAGGTCTAAGAATTTGTCAAATGATACGGAACATCACAATTGATTGAGTATTCATGTAAGACCTATTGAACGCTTCGAATGGTGTGGAACATCAAAATTGAATGCGGCTTCTTATGAGAAGAGCAAGTATGTATCATTAAACTGTATCGAAAACGAATACCTCATTACTTTTTCATAGTAATGAGGTACAACGACACGTACTAAACAAAGGACACGGACTTAAGATCAATGTATTGGTCGCAGTGATTATGAACCGAACAAAGGAAAAATAGTATTTCCATCTTTAATGTACAAGTTCATTGATTCAATCTAAATATAGATCAGAACCGACACTGATCACATCCGTATGGTCTTTTGGAGAGGAGAAAGACGATTAGCTCGGCAACTGTTGTTACTAGAGACCGATTGTTCACCTCTGAATCATCACAATATCAACGGGAAAGCTAGTTATGTGTTTTAAATCATGGTTCACTGTGGAAAAGCAACAGATTTTTGTGAGTAAAAAGACATCCCTGGGATTGAGCACCTGACGTTCTGCACAATAAGCAGAAACGGAAACCACTAAGCTAGCGAGCCTCATCTGTAAACTGTAATCAAGGCAATGAAATAAAACCAACTTTATAAAGCTGTAATAACACCAATTCATTATTGCCAATAAAAATTTCAACTAAACTAAGAATACAATAACTGATAAATAAATAATTATTTTTCTTGAAATGCTGACTGTTCAAATATATATATAATCATATCATACTTCTGATTAGTGTTTTTTTATTATTTGCATTTTAACTATTATACAACAAACGAAACAACTAAATCGAAAGCTAAATAACAAAACCAAGGAAATTGACAATTGTAGGTACCTGTTGTTCTATTTATTTTTTGCTTGATATACAACGTTTAAACAAAATGGAATCCCCCGGCCGCTGCACGGAACTCCATGCCTGAAACACGCACACAATCCCAAGCTCGGTGTCGTCCGCGTAGCCGGAGGAGGATTGCGCTGCTATTGCTCTGTTCACCTGCCCGGAAAGTGTCTCCTTCCCGGAGCGACTCTCTGGGAGGCCCCGCAAAAAGAGATCCTTTCCATTTGGCACAAAAACGAAAAACTTAACTGAAACTACCGAAACTTGAATGCCACGCCTCCCTATTCAAGTTGAACCGCTCGAAACGCGCACACCAGAATCGACCGGAACCACTTGTTCCCGATACCGGATTGTGTGCCCGGCTGGGAGGCGGGGATGATCAAAGTTTCAAGTGCGAAATACGTAATCAAATAAGATCCTATTTTCTTAAAGCTTGCTGTCGTGTGTCACAATGTCGTTTGCATAACTTCTTTTGGCTTAAAATTAATACTTGGATTCTGGGATTGCGACGGCGATGGATTCCCACTGAAATGCCTGCTCCGTTGCAATCCGCCAGGACCACGCTTGAAGAGCTTGTTTCGATTCGTTCACTTCTGGTTACTAGTTACTTGGCTTGTAGATTCATTGTTCGATTGATCGATTAATTTTGCTTTTGCATTATCTGGTTTATACGAGGATGGTAGTCTGTTCAACTGCGCAGTTGTCTATTCGAAATGAAAATTAATCGATGAATCAAAACTTTTCGTGTTACTTAAGGATTATTTTTTTGTGTTTTTTATGTTATTTTTTTACTTTTTAAAACTAAATATTCAGAAATCTAAAATGACTTTCAAATCAGAGAGGCAAATCAATTTTTTGAAATATCACATAGTTTCTCGATTAGGTAGGTTGTCTTTGACAACTAGTCTTTGTTGTATCCATTTTAGTATGTGGAGGTTAGATTTGGCGGATAAGGGTAGAACAGGACGCTTTCAAATCAAATCTAACGGTTGAGAGTTAATAGGAGAAAAAAAAGGTGCTAACTTGTCGCAGAGACAGGTTTAGCTTACTCTGGTTCGTTCATTCGCAGCCGAGCGAAGTCCTCGAAGACAATGTTGTCATCATCGTCGGCGTAATGGGAGTTCTCGTAGCGATGACGCTCGATCGACTTCATCTTCTTCAGAGCGTTGACGCGTTCGCGCTCAGCGGTTCCTGCAGGAAAAATGAATTGTAAGAATAGTTCGACTATGTCTCTCGATTGTTGACGATCTTACCGGGAGCAGGGGTCAGCAGCTTGAAGGGAACGTCAGTCTGCAGCTCTCCGCCAAGGGTTCCGCAGTTCAGTTTCACCCGAAGCGAGTACGAAATGATGATACCCATGGCATCGGAGTGGCTCTTGCCTTCGCTGATCATCGTCGACGAGGCCAGGTTGACGTCTTCCTCCCTCAGGTGACCATCGAGGGCAATTCCTCGGCGGTCCTTGTTGCTGGAAGCCAGCGGTACCAGGAAGAAGGACTTGGTGAAGCTTGCTCCCGGGGTGATCGGGCAGCCTTCACGAGTCTCCAGCGAAGCAATGTGTTTGCTGAACTGGGCGTTGACCATTGTGACCTATAGGGGGAGAAAATCGATTGTGAGTCAATCAAAAAAAATGTAGTTTTCCAAATAAAACAAACCTCGCAGTGCTGCACCACGAAGCACTTGATGCTCTTGACGGTCTTGCGTGAGTTGTTCGTCACCACAATATTGGCAGAGATCTTCTCGCCGTGGTAGTAGATCTCCCGATCGAGAGTGACCTCCAGGTTGATCTTACCCTGCGAGAAGGTGAAGCCCTTGCTGACCAGCGACGAAGGTAGACGACGACCGCGGGTGGTAGGAGCATGTTGCAGCTTCTTGACCATCAGTCCGACGGTGCTACGCTTATGACCCTTCTCTTCTTCTTCTTCACCGACGTAGATCTTGATCGAGTACTCAACGCCGAGTGGCTTACCCTGGTCATCCTCACCAGCCTGCAGCGTCACCGAGCTTGGGGCCATGTTCGGGAAGTGGAATGTGAACGGATATGCATTTTCGCCCAGCTTCTTGATGAGACGCTCCTGCATTGGGGTCATCTCCATCTTGGAGTTCACCATGGGATAGACCTGATCCTTGACCAGGACCATTTCCTTGGAGAACTTGACCCCCATGACTTCATCCTCCTCGCGACCATAGCGATAGATGGTCATGAGCTGTGAAGGAGAACAGAAAAAAACGACGATAAGGTTAGCGACACAATTCAATTAGGCTAATGAAATTAACAGGTAGCCTCAGACCAGTCGGACTCAATTAATCCAATTAGACTAATACTAAACACTGACGATCGAAAAAGAAAAAAAAACTTCGACACAAACCTGACCGTAAACCTTGCGTCCCCGCAGGTATTCCTGGTCGATTACGACCACACCGTCGACGGGTTCGCAATAGTCCACATGATCGATGAAGTCACGCTTGCCCAAGTACACGGTTAGCTTGCCATTTGGTGCGGATTTTTTGAAAACTTTCACAGCGACAACCATCACTAGATTTTTTTGCTGTATTTATTCCTTGTGACTACTTCGTAAAATTTGATTTTCAATTAATTAATTGAAGAATCCCACAGTACAACTTGCGATTTTATCGTTGCTTTTCAAGAACTTTGATGATTTGTGAAGTTCACTAGATTTACTAGATATTACTTTCGCTCAAACTCAAACTAAACTATGTTATTTGTTTGGAACAACAACCAGAAGTGCAGCTAGTCAACGGGAACGCGAAAGGTTTTATACCTTTTCCCTGTGGCATGCATCGTCGGGGCTTCCTTCTAGGCTTTCCCATTTGCATGCCGTTCTAACTAAATTACCTAACCCGTGTTCCCTTCCCTTTCTTGTTTGTTTATTTTCGGTGGTACTGTTTTGCTTTTTTCCGTGTCCTGTGTCCAGGCTGTTACCGCGACGGCAAAATGCCATCATCATCAGGTGGTCGTCTTCCGTTCCTCCCACGCACGTCACTTACCCACGAGCCCTAATCCTATTTCGATGTTACGGGGAACTATGTAAATATGCCACCCCGACAAGGTGAAGCGCAAGTGACCGATGTCTGTGACGTCATCTATTCAGCATTCCACAGGAGTGTAGAAGGCCATTATTCCCTACCATAGTTTTTCATATAAGAATAATGGCGAAAACTTCCAACTCCACCTTAGTACTCACCAAAATAACCAACCTTTTAGAAAGGATTCTTTGTCAACCAGTGTAGAAACATGTGACCTGCAACTTGGGTCCTAGATGGAGCATTGGAAACCTATTGCCGGAGGACTAACTGAATTGCATATTTCATTCAGAATTCGTTCGATTCTTTCTTAGCATTCCCACGGCCTTGTAAAGACATTTCCAGGTTCGATGAAAGAATCTATTATCTAGCTTCTAATACGACTAATACAACAAGAGACGGCTTTGTAGCTAAGTTGTTAACGAAAGAGAAAGTCGATGAAGAGAATCGATCAATGTTACATAGGACCTTATGCATTGTTGAATTGTGTCTTAGTATTGCTAAGGGAAACGCTCTTATATTTACCATGCTCCTATAGTGTCTTGGTACTGCTAGTTGATGCTAATTGAACCTTTATTATAGGAGCAGATAACCAACATGAATCGAATCACCCAATCGGTATATCCTCTTGTCTTGTATATAGAGCTTCGGGCCGATTCGTTGGGTGCTCTGCTGCCTACACAAGGATGTGAATGGGTTCGTCTGATTTTGTAGCAGCAGAGCTGCAAAATTCAGACGTAGAACGCTGGACGATGTATGTACATTACCCATCTTTCCAACAACTTGGTAGTCATAGTATGTATGTCTGCTGATGAGCAAAGGTATTCTGCTGACCTTTTGTCTGCTGTTCATTGTCAAGGACACCACCAAGAAATGAAGCACTAAGTTTTAATCCTCATTCTCATAGATTTGATTTCCACCGGAAAAGACAACCCGACATGGACAACTAGAGGACGGCCTTGATGTGGGTGTTTGTCAGTGGAAAATCGAGGATTGAACCAACCGATTGTCTCTGTATAGGATTGCTGTTGCGTCTGGTGCATGGAAGAGTATCAGTTTACAATGCTCAATTTGTGTTGTGTTGAGGAAACTGGGTTTATAATTTTGCACTGCTGTTACGTATCGTAACTCGTGTTATGATATAGGGTCAATGTAACAGACTGAACCATTTACATCTTCAGTTGAGCATATCATGTTTTCAAAAATGTCGCTACTTTCAAGCCTTATTTTTATTTCTAATAACCAGATAGTCATAGTAGATAGTAAGTGGATCAGTTATGATACTTTTGCTTCAATAATTGACCCAATATTAACTTTATTTTCTGGATTTAAGATATAGCATGTATTTTAATCTTCCACCGAAATAAATGTTGCTAACAGTCATGCCATCAATCCTGCAAAATGCGTGTCGATAGATGTAGGTAGCTAGTACGGGTTGATGCATATATTATGTCACGCTCTAAGGGGGGAGGGGCGGGTGTGGGTCTATGATTTTGTGACAAGCAATGCATTAGATATAGGAAAAACGTCACGATAGGGGGGAGGGGGTAATTTTTTGCTTGATTTAGCGTGACATAATTAATGCATGGGCCCTACTCAGAAATTTGGTGATCAATGTTTAAGATTTGAAACATTTTTAGGGTGATTCTTCACTTAGAACTGGTTGACACATTCATCGCTTATGCAACATGAAATGTTAACAACACTCCAGGAAGTGCGTTAGTTTATTTTCTTCCGATTTCTTTGGAAAGATTCCTGATTTTTAACGGAATGTTCTCACACATTTGCCAGTTTGATTACGGCTGCAAGGTTCTTCTGACTTCCATCGAAAGATTTTTGATATATTCCGACTTTCTCCAAAAGTGCTTCTGGCTTTCTCCTGAAACTTCTTCCAACATCATCTGGCAGTTTTTTTTTCAGACTTGGTCCGAGCTGACACCGGAATATTCTTATGATTTTTTTTTTTTCCGGGAAGCTCTTTCCTGCTTACCCCAGAAGTCCTACTGATATGATCGGGACTTGGTACATCTACCCTGTGTGCTTCTTCGATAATTCGGATTTATCGTTAAAATAACCGTTTCCTAACAGTAGTCGTAATGTGCCACATTTTTATCGGAATTGAATATGATATTGAACATAGTGAAGTTATGACACCGACAAATCATTTAATGTTTCTATTCTACGTTGCAGTGCTGATAAAAATTATTCCTTCTACACTCAACTTAGCTGCAAATGAAGACGTTTTTGAAGACAAATATTCAAACTTTTGGACTAAGAATGGAACATTTGAGAGGAGTCGGAAGAAATGTCCGGGGAATTTTCTAATTATCTTCTGAAGAAAGCAAGTTTGAAGAAAATTCTAAGGAAATACGCAAAACATATCCAGGGAGCTTCCAAGACAAATATTAAGAAACTTCTGGCCGAAAATTTAAAAAAAAATTGATGTCACATCTAGAGGAAGCCATACAATTTTCCGAAATGAGAAACAAGTTCCAGGAGTACCCGAGCAAAATAAAATTACAACCTGATATCATTTTGAAAATAAATCTTGATATTCCAGATATCATTTTGTGTTCAGTTGTATCGCATAACTAATTTAGTTATCAACCTCGACTAATTTTGTTATCAGTTGTTATCATGAAAGAATATGAAATGATGCAAGGTTAGTTCAAAGCTTCAAATATTTTCGCATGGTAAGATACAATTCAGTTATCAGCGTATTCTACCAAATCGATAAAATAATTTGAAATTTGTCGAAATTTTTTTAATGGATCACAGGATTTGTTATCAAGATGTTTTCAATGATAACTTTGTGATTTCCAAAGAGTATTATTTTGTTATAATTTTTGTTAAATGACTTACGGAACAGCCGATGGAAACATCAAGGCATACTTCAAATCTCCGCGTACATCGTACGAGTTAAGCAAAGAAGTGTGCGTGACTTGTACTGTCGCATTAATGGCCCTTCGCTCATTTTCAACTTCTATTCAATTTTCATACTGCCGTACTCTAACGGAACTATCTGCCTACCCTCTTCTAAGATCATTCTTTAGCTAATAAGTTATCACACTAAAGCTTTATGTTAGATAGCATTTCCAACCAACTTTGTAAGTCAAGGAGAAGTTGGAGAAAATAATCCGGAAGAAAGAGCTTTCTTTCCTTGAAGTTCCTTACATGTTATAATGATGCAATTTTTTTTTCTTGATATTCAAAATACATCCCTGAAGTTTTCCGAACTTTCGTGAAATGCACTTCGGAATATCCCAAAAAATGCTCGGAAGTCGTTATAAGTTCTGCAATTTTTTGCTGAAGTTAATAGGGCTATTTTGTAGTTTTCTGATCAACCTCGAGGTCTCAAATTTCAAACCGCCGGCGCCGGCACTTCTTTTTTCATAAAACGTCGACCCTATAAAAAGGTAAACATAACATTTCCACAGCCAGAGGCAGAATCGAGCTCATATGAAGGGCACCTGAAGCGGTGCTTAAAATTTGACTGCCCAAGCATCAATCTTTGTTTTATGGAAGTTTTATAGTAGTTGATAAAACCTAATTGCTGACGACCACATTGTTGTAACAACAATCTGGTGACCGCTATAAAGCCATGTCATAACCAATTGACCCAGTTTTAATGCAATCATTAAAACCAGATATGCGAATCACCTTAAGAGTAGAGGTTTCAATGCAGTTTTATCGCATACTACACATGGTTGTTAAGGGGAAGCAGACCGCTCCGAAAAAAAAATTACGTTTTGATTTTTCTAAAAATATTGAAAAAAAGTATCAAAAATCTAAAAAAATCACATTTTTTCTAATTTTTTAAAGAAAATTCACGTGCAAAAACATGTTTTATAAGTCATTATGGCATAAAGTTGGACTTAAAAAACCACAAAACATCAACTTTTCGGTTTTTCTGAGAGTCCAATTTTTTTTCATGATGGGATAGAAAAAAATTTTTTGCATGTAATTTTTGACAAAAATCTAAGGAAGAAACTGATTTTCTTGGATTTTTGATAATTTTTCCCAATATTTTTAGAAAAAATAAAAACGTTCCGAAAATATTTTTTTATTTTTGGGCCGGTGAGCTTCCCCTTAAAGATGGTAGTATAAAACTGACCAGGAAGTTTAAACAATCACTTAATGATTAGTATAAAACCATGTTACAACTGCATAAATCACTCTTCAAGAAGTGGATAAAACTTGATATGCAATCCGTTTTGACTACCTCGATATTTGATGTGAATTCATAATCGCTGTCGGTTTGTGACAATACTGATATACTTGCTTATTGCTAGTTCGTAATAGTTGTCCTACGTTAATAAATTCATGATTTTTCGACCATTGTTTCTAATTATTGGACAGTTTTCAGTAGGGGAAATACAGGTCACGCTAACGTTTTTCACAGGTATGCATTGCTTTTACATAATTTATCGACCTACAAATGTCACAGAATCTTACTTTGACTCTAGATGCACCATTTAACGAGATCTTACGTTTACATATTTGGTTAAAGCTTGATTTTTAATAAATACAATTTTGTGTTTTCAAGCGAAGCAATGTGTAGTGTGGGTACGATCGACACCCTGTTGGGGTAAAACCGACACATCTTATCGGGGTAAAATCAACACCTTATAAATATCAAATGAACGGTTTCGATCATAAGCACGAGGCATCTACAAAAAATGTTGAAAACACATCTATT